ATAAGTGCTTAGCACCATATAAGGAAATTTATAAAGACCTTTTAACTAGAAGCAAGCAATCTAAAATTACATACATTTTGCAAAAGGTAAAACATGGATCTGAAGATAATGCAGAAAAATGCTCAGAGGATAACGATAACTTGCCAAAAATAAAACGCTTTCGGTTAATAGTGCTTTTAGTGATGACAAAGAAAACATTGTTTGATTTATATTAATATGTATCACTTAAATATCTTTATTAAAATTTTCTTATTTTAAATTTAATTAATTAATTACTAAAATATAGTAGCATGCTTTTTAATTTTTGGAACCTAACCCTCCTTTTCGTACTGGTTCTTTGTTTCGCATAACACGGCAATTTTTTGGAACGTAACTACCATGTTATACGGGGGTTACCTGTATACAACATATTGATCCTGACAATTTATGAGCTTTACCTTAATTGATGCCACAGAGACCACTGAACATAGTTACCACATAGTAAAACAGCAGTGGTACCTTTGATTACCACATGGGAAGACCTTCAGCTGCACTGTTAGCTGAGAATTTTAATCTTATATACAAAGTCCACAAGGACTTTATAGATGTCTTTGTTTTTGAGGAATAAGTCTGGAGAGCATGGCCACACTTCGAGTTCAGCTGAGACTGCTGCAATGAGGCTACTCCATTCCTCGAGAGGACAGGGGCAGTACCCGTTACCCTTATTTAGGAAGCGTGCCAGATATGCACGCAAGTTGCCATGATTGGTCAATAGTTGAGTAAGCTAGGATGGGATGAAGTCAGAGAACTTTTCCCTTTCTTTCAGTGATGGAAGGAAACTGTGTATGGTCCTGCCAGTGGAACTATTATCCCATTGATGTAAGAAGAACATTATCCCATTGATGTAAGAACATTATCCCATTATTAAGGAACTGCACAGCTAAGAAAGTAGCTGTGCAGTTCCTTAATAATCCAGCTGACTGGGATGCTAGAGTAAACACTTGAATTTATGTTGGAAATCACCTTTCTAGCAAGGAAGGGTTTCATGGTATAAAACTGGCTCCATCAGAAACCTTATGTCCCAGAAATAACAAACATAACAGTTTGGGACTTTAAAAGCACAGGTTGTGTCCTTAAACTAATCTTAATCTACTTACGACTAAAATAAGATGATATATGTACAGATAGAGGAAGGAAGAAGAAGAAGAGATGTAGGACAGGGGTACCCAATGATCTTGAATGTTCCTCCTACACATCGATTGGATCCAACTTTCTTTGTCTAAGTTAATGTTCTTTCTTTCTCTGAACTTCACTGCGATTTGGATATTCTGTCAGAAGATGCCTTGAATACACTTATGAAAAATGTCTCTCCTGTGTGTTTCTGTATCAAACACCACTTCCTCACACTCTTATCGTCTGCCAAAAACAACCAAGAGCCTCTTCTCAACACACCTGGTCTCCTTGCTGTCGACCCAAAAAGTGCTTAACTTGCCCGTTTTTCCTTTAAGGCCTTCCCTCCTCCTCTGACTCACCCTATCAGGGAAGGGTTTGGTCCTAATTTCTTGAAAAAATGAAACGAAAGAAAATCAAGAATAAAGAAAAGTGAAAGAATGAAATGAAACTGAAAAAATTCTATATAATATATAATGATATGGCAAACAGCCACAACATCGAGTGAAGATGGATATGGGCCGCACTCAGTGGTATAGCCCAAGACCAGAAGAAGGAGGAAGATATAAAGTTGTGTATGAAGAAGTTAGGGTGAAGGGGAAGTGCAGGAAATAGGATAGAGGGAAAAAGACCTTAGTCCATGGGACTCAAGGGCGTCTGCATTGCATATATTTGAGACAAATGCTTGCATTACATTATTTATAGTTGTGTATACAGTTAGTACAGTAGATAAACAGTCAAAGGATGCTGATGAGTTTGTAGACAGATAATACATTGATGTTACATTGCAGAAAATTCGTATAAAAATCCAGAGTACAATTTCAGAGTGGAAAGTTACACAAGTAATACTTTCACGTACATAATTTGGTGACTTTGTAGAAAAATTTTAGAAGATGGTATACAGTGACGTAAAGATTTACATTAAATAACAGGGGACACATTTACTGTTACCATGATAATTACAGGGATGCAAACATAGATTACTCCGTGCTAGTCCAATATTTTGATGTCTTGAATGAATTTTTTTAAGGCTTTGGAGATGTGTTTGTTTTCCGTGAAGACCCTAAGCTCACAGGGTCAGAACTTATTCCTGTTGTGTATTTCATTTATGAGTCCCTTTCGTTGGCTTGAGTAGATAGGGCAGTGAAAGAGAATGTGCAGTGGGTCTTCCTGTTCTTTGAGTTCATGGGCAGAGTCCATCAGTTTTATTCATAAACCATTTCAGGTAACTTTGAAAGTTTCCATGCCCTGTATACATCTGTGTAGTTGAGAAGGAGGGAATCAGGTGTTTATAACTGCGACGTTGTTTCACACTAGGAATAAATTGGTGCGTGAGCCTACCTGTTGTACCAGTGTCCCACCTGTCTTGCCAACGTTTCCAGAAGTATTCTTTGATTTGGTTGTGAAGCCATTTAGGGGGAATAGCACTGAAAGAGTAGTGAGTGATCCTTTCTGGAGTGGTGTGGGCCAGCAAGTCTGCTCTCTTGTTACCAGCATTATCAGCATGGCCTTCCACCCAGTGGAGCCTGATGTTGATGATACGGCGTAAATGAATTATAATGTTGATGCTTTGGTAGACCGTTGGGTAGTTGCTGTTCAGCTTTTTCAGTTGCTGGAGTGCAACACGGCTGTCACTGAGAATGGTGACGTTCTTTGTGTTGTGATGGTGAATGTTTTTCAGAGTCCACTGTAGGGCATGGAAGATGGCTAGCAACTCTGCTTGGTTAGCAGTGCAGTGTTCGCCAAGCTTGTACTGCACCTGGTATAAATTCCTTTTGTTGTAGGTGATTGAGCACCCAATGCCTTTGTCAGACTTGGAGCCATCCGTGAAGATGTGGATCCTGTGGGTGGGCGTCATTTCCCTGAAGATTAATTTGAGCGCTGATAGTAGTTTTTGGGTGGAATGCATGCGGACGAGGGAGGTAGTCCAAGCTGTGCTGCTCGATGTGGTTGGCAAGCAAAGCTGCTTCCGTATAGACCCCGATTTCTGTGGTGATGTTGTCAAATTCCTGCCTACTGATTTGGTGAGTTTCCATCTTGTAATGATTGTACTTCCAGACTCTTTCTTTTACTATAAGATCAATGGGGATGATAATTTTTTTTTTAACTCTTTCCACCCTGTGGGCACTAAGAGGTCCTCTTTTTTTCAAGCCCATTATGGGTTCGGCCAGGCCCACAATGGGGCTGCCGGGTGGTGAGGGACGGGGCCCAACATATCCGAACAGACCACCCCCGAAAAATTCCTGAGGATTTTTCGACCCGTTCAGATTCGAACCCGGGTCCCCCAGAGCAGTAGGCTGCCACCTTGACCGCTCGGCCATCCGGCCATGGGGATGATGTTAGCGATGGCGAGTAAGGCATCAGTTGGTGTGGTTTTGTAGGCTTTCGTGATGGAGATTGCAGAAAGTCTCTGGGCCAATTGCAGTTTTCTTTTGATGTGGGTTTCCCCATAGTTCTGCGCCATGGAGTAATATTGGTTCCATAACCACAGTATATAGGAGTCTAGAAGTCTCACTTCCATAACCCCAGCAGTTCCTGGCAATGGAATAAAGGGAATGAGAGACTGTGGTAGCTTTTTCATAGGTATAGTGGACATGGTCTCACCATGTTAGTCTGTTGTCCAGAATGATGCCCAAGTACTTGATGGCTTTCTTGTTTTTAATCCGTATTCCGTGTATTCTGATAGTGGGTCCTTTCTGGAGAGGAGTGTTGTGGGGAAAGAGAATGCATTCACACTTCTCATATTTTATTTTTAGTTTCCTGTTGGTGCTCCAGTGAGAGATTTTCTTTAGTATCTCTCAAAATAGTATGTCATTGGCCCTGTCTTGAAGAACCTCTTGGTTCCTATGCGAGATGGCCACTATAATATCATCTTCATAACCTTGTATTTTGCACTTGTATTCTGTGGGAAAGGTGGAGCTAAGCTCCAGCAGGCTATTATACATGAGGTTCCAGAGGAAGGGGCCCAACTGGGAGCCTTGGGGATACCCTCTAGTAATATCTTTCTTGTAGTAGTGATTGTTGGCTGTGGAAGTGATGATCTGCCTGTTTGAAAGATAGCTCCTATAGAGATTGAAAAGATTTCTGGGGCACCCTGTGTCAGTTAGCGCTTTTAAGATAGCCGGCCACCATGCATGATCGAAAGCACCTTGAAAGTCTATTTTAATCACCATGGTATGCTCCCCTCTTGATTTGGCCTCTTGGATGTATTTTATAATGGAGTCTAAGGCCGTGATGGTGCTTCTGCCTTTCCTGAAGCCATGTTGGTTGGTATTGATTTTGTTCCCCACTTCACAGTAGTGCTGCACCCTGTTTACCATGAGGGCATCCAATACTTTCCTAATCACCGGCAAGAGTGAGATGGGTCTATAGTCCGATGAGTTTGTTGGTTGGTTGCACTTGGGAATTAATTTGATGGAGGCCACTTTACATGAGCTGGGGAAAAGGCCTAGCTGGAGGCACTTGTTGAATACTAGATAGAAAGTGGTGGGGATGGCTTCATAGGCCATTTTGGGCAAAATTGAGTCTGTGCCTGGTGCTTTCCTGAGTTTAAGATGGTTGAATTCCCTTGCAACCTCCTGGGCTGTAAAAGGGGTTTCATCTGTGGTGGACAAATTTTTATTGCAGTGATAGCGGATGTTGGCTTGGTAGTTGTTATCCCGTGTTGGGTCGTCAGTCGGGAATAAGTCTTGTAGTATCTGGGAGTAAGTGTCGGTAAATGGAGGTGCTGAGGTTGCTAATGTTCTGGTTGAGATTACCAGGGGTCCTAGTGTTCTTGATTTTGCCCCTGGTGATATAGTACGGGGTGGATCAGGGCCTTGAGTTACCTTTGCTCGAACAGAAATCTCGCCAGGAGTTGGTGCGAGTCCGATTAATTGCAGTTTTGTAGTTCCTGAAGAGGGTTAGGTAATGCTGTTGGAGGTTTTCTTTTCTGTGTAGATCCCTCTCTCTTCTGTAACTGTTCCTGGCTTTCCTTAAAGAGCTTCTCTGGTTTGAGAGCTCCTGAGTCCACCAGGGAGCAGAGAGCCTGGCAGTTTTAACTTTGGTTGTGGCATGATAAGCAATATGAATGATTTTTTGAAGGTCGTCGATGATGGTAGTTAGCTCTTCTGTGTTTGTGATATCAACAATAGGGCCACAATGCCAGTTTTGCTTTATGTGGCTTTGAAATTGCTTCCAGTCAGTTTTCTGAACAGTATGCACATTCTTCCTTAAGCTTGGAGTGCCTATGATACTTTTAATGTACCTGTGATCACTAGCAGAGTGCTCTGCTAGCGTGGAACAGGAGTGTAAGAGCCAGAAAGTTGCCCAGTTAGCCAGGCAGAGGTCCACCCAGCTTTCACCAGTCATACAGGAGTAGGTGGGAAGGGTGCTGTGATCTGAGATTGAAAGTTCAGTAAGTTCATAAACCTTGTAACCTCTGGGATCCTCTATTGGACTAAACCACAGAGGGGACTTGGCATTGAAATCCCCGGCAATTAAGACAGGATGGTTGTTGAGTTGCTGGATGGTAGTTTGAAGACAGTCCAGTGGGATGTTGATGTCCTCAGAAGGGACACAGTAGAAAGAGACAATTATAATCGGATTGCCACCAACATTGATGAGAGTTGTTGTGTAATAGTAGGTACTATGTTGGACCAGAAGTTGGCCGTCAAAGTTCTTGTTCATGATAATGACCCCAGTGAGAGGGGTGTCGTGACCATTGGTATAGTAAAGAGTGTTATAGTTGCCAAAGAGAGCAATCTTCTATTTGAAACAATAGGGCTCTTGCACCACTAGTAGGTCAGCCTGATGATTAATGGCAGTTTAGAGGGCTTCGGTTGTGGCTACCTTAGACCTTTGCAGATTGATTTGTAGCAGTGTTATATTATGTTTGATAAGCCTAGTATCCATAATTGGTCTTTTTGATAGCTTGCACCTTTAATCTGAGGATTTGCGGACAGTAAGGATCGAAGGCATTGTGATTGCAAGTCTTTTGTCGGGTTGCAAGTCTTTGTTATAGGTCTTACAATTTATACAACAGGGAGACTGATCTTTTTGGTTGCACTCTTTAAAACAGTGACCCTTTGAGCAGTGGCTACAACGTTGGCTTGCTGGACACTCCCGTGCTATATAATTAACTCCAGAGCAGTTATAACACCTAGTGATGTGAAGGAAATCATCAACCTTGATATTTGTCCAGGATATAGCTAAGTGCCTGAGTTTAATGAGTTCCTTTCTGACTTCTGGAGTTGTTGATAGTATAATATGGCAGCAGTTTTCATGTATATTGCCTTTCATTATAGTGGTACTGATCCTGGTTTCAGTAGTAAAGTCTTCCTTGGGGATTATGCCCAGTGCCGTGTTTTGGTCATAGATGGTACTTATGATATCTGCATCGTCTATACTGTAAGGGACATTTACCAGTATTAGTCTTGGCCTACAGCCCTCTGATATTTTTGTCTTAACTTTGTTCTGTATTTCCAGCAAGGCTTCAATTGCCTGCCCCAAGGCAGCAGCATCTTTGTGGCTGCTGGTTCTGAAACACCAGCCATCCCCTTTTATTTCTTTGATGGCTGTGACCTTTATTCGTAGTTTGTTTGGTTTTATGCTCTTTGTAATTTCAGAGTAGACCTCTTTCATGTTGGTTTCCCTGCCATCTTCCAATTTGGTTAGACTAGTAATGCGTGGCTACTGCCGCTTCCTTCCGTCCTAATCTTTTTATTTAGGGATCTAGCTATTGTTTTGGTTGCTTTACTTTGCTGACTGTTGGTTTAACTATGTCTGAATATGAGGGAGCAGAAAGGATGGCCCGCTGGCTCTGTGAGTTACAGTTGCTATTGGTAGTAAAAGTAGCACATGCTTGCTGGAGTGTGCCGTACATCTGGTTGATTACCGCATATATCTGGGATGTTCTGTCCTTAATTTTTTCCTGTCCTCCGTGTTAATATAAGTCTGATAGGTTTTTGGGAGGAGGTCCAATATCCGCTGCATGTGCTGATGAGCTTCACTGAGTAGGGAGCCTTCCATAGAGTCAAAGTCCTGTATGTCAGTTACACTACCCGATGTGGCACTGTGAGCCACTGAGTGATCCCCATCTGCAATGGGGCCAAAAACAGGCCCAAGGAAATGACAGAGTCGTCCATGAAGCCCAAAACGGTACAAGTTAACAAAACTGCCAAAATACGGCTTGAAAGAGGAAGCCCACTGGATGGCCCGCGGGCCTGACTAAGACGGAAAAGAGGAATTTATTGTGAGACGAATGGAATACTACACTTGCGGGTAACCCAAGCAAGACCCGAGAAACTGGGGAAAAAGGCCACTGAATTAGGGTCAGAAAGGGCAAAGAAAGCCAACCGCATGCTAAGGTCAATGACCTTAAGGTCCTTTGTCTTGAGCAAAATTAAAAACGCTCATAATGATATAACAAATAAAGATAACAGAGCGAAATTTACAGTACTGTTAGACCAGGATACGATTAACACCCAAAGATGGGCAGCACAGGTGGCCTGACAAGCCCGCAAGACGGCCCGAAGTATGTGAAGTTTCAGTCGCAATAAAAGGAAACGGCAAAACGCAGAAAAAAGTGGGATACACTGTTGGAAAGAGCGTTTAAGCTTGAATAAAACGGTGTATGAAAAGTCCACTTACTGGTGGAAACCACTGACTGTCGACGGAAAACTCGGAATTTCTGGAGCCCGTAACTTTTCAGGTAATAATCCGATCTGGAAAACTGAAACACCAATCTATAGCTGACGACGAGACAAATCCAACAATGTATATTAATCCATGGATTGAACTAGCACAACAACGATGGATCGATGTAAAGCGGGAGCCCATCCACACTATCCTAATTACAGTAAGACTAAAGAGGACTCA